CTCTCTCTCTCAAATAAATAAATAAAATCTTAAAAAAAAAGATTTATTTATTGGGGGGGGCAAAGGGAGAAGGGAGAGAAGCAGACTCCCTGCTGAGCGGGGAGCCAGTAGTGGGGCTCAATCTCATGACCCAAACATCCCAGTCTGAGCCGAAACCAAGAGTCAGACGCTCAACCTACTGAGTCAACCCCCCGTGCCCCTGATATTGTAGTTCTATAGGATATTCTTTTTCCTCTGAGGAACTACATGGGATGGAGTTTTGGAATGTTGTTTAAGTCTGGAGCCGACGCCAAGAACGAATTTTTGAGACATCTTTAGTGCAAAAAACATGATTTTATTAAAGCACAGGGATGGGACCTGTGGGCAGAAAGAGCTGCTGCACTGGGGTTGTGAGAAATGGCTGATTGTATACTTGGGAATTAGGGGAGGTAAGAAAAAGGGAGGTGTCTCCCTCAGGACACTGGAGGCCTTGCTATTGTCAAGGTTGTTTTTTCGTCTAGCAAGGCATTAACATGAAGACAGTGGGGAGCTTGCTGGAGGAACGTCACACACGTCCCACACAGGAGTGGGGCGGGGGCCGTGTTGCGGGGTGTCAGTCTGTGCTTTGTCCTCAGCTTTCTGCTCCCTCATCACATGGGACGGTATTTAATTATGAAATGAGTTATGAGATTTCATGATGTCTGCAGCTTACTTTTAAATGATTCAACAACACAACTCAGTTTCAAGGGATTCAACAACAATACCTACATACCGGGGCAGAGAAAATGAGCAGAAATGGCGAAATGCTAAGAACTGTCTGCTCTTGGAGTAGGGTATACAGGTATTCACCGCCCTGTTCTCTCACCAATCGACATACAAACGATCACAAGTGAACGCTGGGCAGTGTGTGTAACACCGCCACTCCTCGCGGAGCGGCTCGGGAACCGGCGGTGCCCAGCCCCGGGTCGGACGCACAGCCGGGTTCCGTGCGCCGCTCGGGCCCGCCTCGCCGCCGGACCCCGTCTGGGCATGCTCAGAAGCCCCGCGCGCCTGCCCCGCCCCTCAGGCGTACGCGTGCGCGCAAGGCGCAGGCGCGCGGTTCCCGGTGGCACGCGAGACACCAGCTGCGGGACGCGGCGTACCGCTGAGGTACGAACCTGAGGTGATGGAGCCGCCGAAGGTGGAAAAGTTCAGCACCGCCAACAGGGGAAACGGGCTGCGCGCCTTGGCGCAGCTGCGCCCGGGAGAGCTGCTCTTCCGCTCGGATCCCTTGGCGTACACGGTGTGCAAGGGGAGTCGTGGCGTCGTCTGCGACCGCTGCCTCCTTGGGTACGTGCGGAGCGCCCTCGCCCACCCGAGTCCCGGGCGGCGCGGGGTCGGAGCGCGGGGGATGTCGTTGGGCCGCCCGCCGCGGGACTCCGCCCGGCCTTGGGTGCGCACGTTTGGGGGCGCTGCCCGGGTACCCAGCCCCGCAGCGCGGTTCCCGGGGCGCGTCGCGGCTGGCAGGGAGCTGTGTCCCGGGGGTTGAGGGCGTCCCAGGCTCAGGCCCCGCCGCTGCGTGGGGCCGAGGTGGACCCGCTAGAACCCCCGCGCGTCCCCCTGGGCTACCGTAGGAATGGGAGCGAGCCCGTGGGGGCAGAGCTAAGGGGCAGCGTTGTGCTGCGGGTAGTTTTACCGGGGAACGAAAAGTCTGTGTCCCGGGCGGCACGCTTCATCGGTGCGGCCCTGGAAGTGACAACTGGCTGGGGGTTGGGGAGGGGGGAACGCAGGGATGTGTGCAAACCGGGCTCTGTACTCAGGCCCCGCCAGGAGAGGACCTGGCTGGCGGGAGGCGGAAGAATCTCGGTGTTTACGGAACACTTTCCAGGGTCCAGGTTGTGTTCTGCCTGGAGCTACGAAGATGAACGGGGCATCCTTAAGAATCCTTATGGAGCATATCAGTGAGAGCGAGAATTAATTACAGCGAATCAGAAGGGCTGAAATAGAGATGCAGTACAGTGCTATGGGAGCATAAGTTACTGAGGTTCCGTGATGTGCTTTGCATTTAATGGCTGTGCAGGCAAGTCTAAGACTTAACCACCTATCGGGATGCGAGAATTCACATGAAAGTGTTTCATAAGCCTAGAAGCACTGGGCCAACGTAAAGTGCTATGTTAAAGCAATTTATGGAAATATGTAATATATATGCAGTCATAGGAATTGTAGTCGAGCAACTAATGTTACTGAGCTCCTGTTATCTGCCAAAGAGAAGAGCTCTGTTTGAGATGGGTGGGATGATTTTTTTTTTTTCCAGGACTGCCCTTCAGATCTCTCAGCCTGGGATTTGGCTGGATGGAGGTGAGGAAGTAGTTGTAGAATTCACATCGGTAGCTTGACCATTAATCTTAACCAATTCCTTATTTGATTCGTAATTGAGGACTTTATTTAACTTTGTATTTTAAAGTTACTAAACAGTAATAGTTGTATCTGTAGCTTCCTGAGGTTATCATAAGAGCAACAACAAAAAATTAGTTGAGAGAGCACTTTGAAGTTTTTGTAAACTTCAAAACTAAAAAAGTTTTGGAAACAGTTAATTCCTTTCAAGACTCAACTATTTGCTGAAGGCCCCCACATTGAAATTTATAGATCTTTGATTCTTATTCAAGCAAATTAGAGACCTGGGCTCTTCATTCTGTTAAATCATCTAGGGGTGTATCTTGAGTTGGAGTTGGAGAACTTGCTATCCTATAATATTAGTTGATGAAGAGAGAAGGTGTGGTTCGTCTTCCATTTGAAATCAGACTGGCAAAGTTATTTAGTAGTTGGGATGGAAAAGTTTTGGGATTAATACATGATGACAAATTATTCACTGAATTTTCAGAGCTGAACTTGAGTCATGTGACACACAGAATTGTCTGTTTTCCAAAGTAGACTACACAGACCCAGCCGTTCATGGGTGAGATGCTTCTTCCTTTACCATACTATTTCATTACTGTTGGCTATCACTCATATATCTTATTAGCAAGAGATTACTTGTTAGTCATGCTTTAAGCACAAAAGGAACTTCATGCAAGAGCATTGGGGAGATCTTAGCATTGCTCTGAGGTCTGGAGGAACCCCAGTTCTGAAAGTGGGCAGGAACCAAGGAGAGTTCCATAGTCAGAATTACACTTCAGAAGTAGTTGGGGTTGGTACCTGGGGAGTACATCACTTGTGATGCTGCCTGATAGTGCTTGCTGCTCCCGCATGTATTACCAGCACCATGATCCTGGGCCCTGCTGCTGCTACTCTTGCCACTGCTGTTGGGAAACGCTATTGCTGGAAAGCTGCTTTCTCATCCATGCTTCTTTGTGGAATTAGCTTCTGATTCAAAAATCCTTAGTGGTATCTTGGATTGTCTGAGATTAGGTCACTGCCTGAATCCTAGCTGCAAGGGAATTTGAGAAGGTGACTATTAGGACTTCTTGGCTTTTAGGAAAGGAGGCAGGTTCTGTTCCCACCAGTATTCATAATAGTGGGGAAATTAGCAAACATAAAATAAGAAAAGGGATATCAGTAAATGCCAAGCATCCAAACAAAAACAAAAGGAGTTTTCATACGGACACACAGTAGTGCTTTACACAAAAAATACATTTACACTTACTTACTTCGGATTGTTAGGATATAGCTGATTTGTGCTGTGGTAGTAGGTGCTCTGTTGAACACTTCCACTTCAGTGGTTGTAGTATTTCTGCAGTGCCTAGTTGGGAATCAGCACAGCCTGAAAACAGTGTTAGAGAAATCAAACTTTGGTGCGTTGTTTCATGCAGTTTTCTTTTTTTTTTTTTTAAAGATTTTATTTATTTGACAGAGAGACACAGTGAGAGAGGGAACACAAGGGGAGTGGGAGAGGGAGAAGCAGGCTCTCCGCCGAGCAGAGAGCCCGACACGGGGCTTGATCCCAGGACCCCAAGATCATGACCTGAGCCGAAGGCAGACACTTAATGACTGAGCCACCGAGGCGCCCCTGTTTCATGCAGTTTTCTACCACAATTTGAATGACCATCATTGGGATAAAGTTTCTGTGTTCTTTATCACCTTATAAGTAAAGTTTGTTCATCATCAATTGTGAAGTCCTTGAGAGTAGGTATTACATGTCAATTTTTGTAGCCCCAGTGCCTGACACATAGTAAGCTTTTAGTTTGTGTGAAGAACATCTGGCTGAATTTTCCTCTAGCTGTTCTTGCTTTTCTGCTGTCTTCCACTTGAATTAATTTGAGAGAGCGAGAATGAGAGAGAGAGAGTACATGAGAGGGGGGAGGGTTAGAGGGAGAAGCAGGCTCCTCGCTGAGCAGGGAGCCCGATGTGGGACTTGATCCAGGGACTCCAGGATCATGACCTGAGCCGAAGGCAGTCGCTTAACCAACTGAGCCACCCAGGCGCTCTTCCACTTGAATTAAATAAATGAAAATATTCCTTTGTAACAGTAACAGTTCTGGGGGGGTGGCAACATAAAATAATAGACTTATTATAATTTATTACTTCATTCTACCTGATTTTCTTTGGTCTTGGGCTGTTTGAAAAGTGCTTTAGTTCTCGCATATTTATTTTTATTAATAGAAAAACTTGAATCCGCTTCATGGCTTCTCTTCCTTTTTTTCCTCTCAGTAAGGAAGGGTTTTTCATCTTGTGAGTAGAAAAAAGTATGTAAATTGGGGAAAGATTAAATGATACAAAGTTGTGACCTGAAATAATTTATATCATCCTTTTTCTGCAGTTGCTCACCGCTTTAATTTGACAGACCTGGAAAAGATTGACAAATGGGTTACTTGTGTTTTCTGTTTTGGTAAATGCAGCATATAAAATTCCATTGTAATTATTGTTTGTAGGTCTCCCCACTTTAGTGACCTAGTTCTCTAACCTTATATCCTTGGAGCCTAGCACACAGGAGATGCTGACTGTTGAAGTTGTGAAGGGATAGTCTTTAAGGAAATTGTAAGTCACCATATGTTTGTTTTTGTTTTCTAAAGTTCCAAGCTGCCTGTAGTTTCCATATCAAGAGCTTTCTCTGACATACTCTAATGATAGTTTCTTCTATGGGGTAAAGAGAATATGATATCTCTTCCTTCATTGAGGCTGAGCTTGAGGCTTAGTGCCTCCCACGAGGAAGGAAGATGAATTGGAAATGGAAAGTCCATCTTTTCCAGCCCTGAGAAAGCCCTGGTGAATTATGGGAAGAAAGGGGACAGAGGTAGGGAAAACAGTGTGAGAAATACATGTTTTTTGGGTTTTTTTGAAAAATCTTTTTTTAAAAAAGTAATCTCTATACCCAGTGTGGGGCTAGAACTCAAAACCTTGAGATCAAGAGTTACATACTCCACTGACTGAGCCAGCCAGGTGCCCCTGAAATACACGTTTTGAGCTTCCTTGTCTGGCCCAAGTTCTGGAGTTGGGGTGAGTGTGTTAAATAGGTTGAGGGGAGAGTCAAAAGTAGGTCATCTTTGGCTGTGCTCTGTATTTGGAATCTTGAGAGGGGATAGCTGTGTGGGTTGGTGCTGTGCCAACACGGGGATATAGCATAGCAGTGGTAGAAGGAAGTAGCTAGACAGATGAGCCTGTGGTAGCAGGGGAGTCTGAAATGCTCTCATACCACTGGGAGGGCTGTGGAGGAGCTGAGGGACCTGGTGGCACAGCAGGCATCGTACAACTCCAGACTGTAGGTCGGGATCATGGATACAGCACTGGGAGTAGGCATGACATCCCAAAGGTGACATGGCACCAGTCCAGCCATGGGACATGATCACCTCTTTGCCCCAGAGGTCAGTGAAGATCCATAGAGACACCAAGATCCTAGGTCTTCTTGCCACCATTAGGATATCCCTTAAGTCCCATCTGGAGAAAAATTTACCTGAAAGCATCTATTTAAACCAACTCTGGTAAGGAATTAAACTTAATGTCTGAATATTAACTGGAAGAGACTGAGATATTATTTTGGCAAATTTTAAATTTCTGGCTGTTTCCTAGGCTGAGTGTTCATGAGGAAGATTAGACTAATTATAGAAAAAACAGCCCCATGTCTGTGAGACAGATTTGACCAATTAATAGAAAATGAAGCAGCTACATTTGAGTTACAGTGTGGGTAGATATGACCAGGCAATAAAGGGCAAAAAAAGAACATTGTGTTTGGTGAGGTGATGTAATCCATCTTGGCCAAGGGCTGAACCTGGGTGGAGGCAGGAAGGAATACATTCATATACTGAGGTAAGAAGAAGAGTGCCAGAGAAGGCAGCGACAGCGATTGAATGGTTTGAGGACAGCTGGGGAAGTGCTTGCTGAGTAACTCAGTCTTAGAGGAGAGAAGGTTTGAAATA